GGGGGGGGGGGTTTGGGCGCTTAGGAGAGGGCAGTTATTATCTTCTTGGATGGTTTTTTATGTCATCTTTACTGCCAACTTGTTTTGAAGATGCAGTATAATTCGATTGTTACTTCTCTAAGTAAGCAAATCCTAGTTGCTTTTGCTGTTCAAGTTGGAGATGGGATTTTGCTAACAAAATTGAGAGTTGCCTTATAACGAACCCTCTTATAGGTATATAAGTATGTGTGTTTTCAGAGTCTATATATATATTCATGTTTCAGGGGAAAAGTAATTCCATATATGGCTTTAGAAAAGAAAATCCCTTGTAATATTGTCTATTGACTTGGAAAAAGAAAGCAATGTTCTTTTGTTTTGGCAGTTTAATGGACTATAGAAGCAGCATTTTTATAGGAAAAAAAATCTTTTTATCTATTACCTATATTACCACTAGAATTGTGCCAAAATATTCTTCTATTCCTCCTTTAATTTAAAGGATTACCTAGGCAATGAAAATTCCTAAGATCCAGTGAAGATCAGTGGTTGGAACTCGTGAAGTTATCTGCTGTGTTATCTAAGGTTGATAATCATTGAATGACTAGCTGCAGACCGGTAATGAAATGGCTAAAAGGGAAGATATTGCACAACTCAATAGGCTGGCTATTGAACGCATAGGAAATATATACTCTGTAGACTTTATGTACATATTATCATGTAACTCGGCTCTTGACTACTTGATTGAACGTTATGACGTGCAGAGCAGAATTTCATCAATACATAAATGCTTACTGCTGAGTAAATAAACACTTTTGTTTCTGATTTCATTCATTCATTAATATCATCTGATTAGATATTAAAACAAGATGTGAAACATGGGATATCTCAGACTTTTCGTTCAACTCCTGTTGGACTACATCATTTCAAACACTTTGTGGGCAAATTGAACTACTGCGGCTCGGGACTTCTATCAAACACTTGTCAGACAACATATTTTAGAATTTATTGTTGTTTTTTTCTTGTGATAGATTTTGAGAAGTAAACGAGGATGAGGAAGAAGAGCGACAGGTCACAGGTGTATTAACTGTTGAAAGAAGGAAGAAATTGAGGAATACCCTATAATCCACTAGGGGCCCTGAATCCACATGGAGGGAGTAGGAAGAATTAACAATAGGGGAGAAATCCTAGAACCCTCAAGGAGCCTTGAAGCTTCAAGAAAAAGAGATTCAATAATGTAAAACTACAAAATTGACCCTGTATTGGTTAAAAACGTAAAATGGAAGATGATGAGCGTGCCTTGGCTCCATCTAGACCTTCTCATTGGATGTGTAACCTTTATATAGAGGCTGCGTGATGGTTTGCAGCTAGAAGATTTTTGGTGAAGCAATCTCATTTGATTGGAGAGGTGATTGTAACTTTCCAGCAGTGATCAGCTGAAAGCCGCAATCTTGAAGCCGCAAAAATGAGGGAAGCTAAAATTTCCCAAGTGACGGGGCTGACTAAAAGTTGAGAGAAGACATATTGTAAGATTAGGAGGGGTTATATCAAAAACATACAGAATTAGTGTGGGAAAGGGTTTGTCTTACCTTGCGATGGCTTGGTCTTCTTGAGGTCAAGAGTTCAAGTTCTCCCCCTCCCCAAAAAAAAAGAAAAAAAAAAAAGAGCTAAAAGCTAATTTTGAAAAATTTGGTGTGGCCACGTTTCCTGGTCATTAGTTGGCTCTGCCACTGGCCGAAACCAGTCTAAGGAAGTTGCCTTCTGATTGGTCCAGCCATGAAGCAGAAAGAAATCTGGAGATTGGCTAGATAAAGGCCACAATCTAGAGGGGAAAGGTTTTTGTTCTAATTAGAAGAAATTGGGGTGGTTATATGACCATTGCAATCGCCGCCTATGATACTGCTAATGCAAGGCAGCCTTTGATGATGCCAAAAGATATAGGTGAAAAGGAATCCTGAATTCCTCCTACTCTTGAAGGCTGAGTTCTTGGCGAATATCTCGATTAGTTACTTGGTCTGATTGTTTTACTGCCAATAGGAGCAGGAATCATGATTGCTATGAACTTGGGAGGTTGTAATGATGTGCCTGTGTATGGGTAGTTCTGCAACAGAGATATGGAGTGCAGAATGAAACCTTAATGTATGGGGGTTGTACGCCTCTGCTATGGCTGAACAGCTAATTGCTGTTGGACCATTCTACTCAGCCTAGCAATGAAACCAGCGACCGTCGGGAATACTGCGACTTGTTACTTCACAAGACGTTCTGTCATCTTCATCTTATTATCTGACGGTCTTTCCTCTATCAGACCTGCTAACTCAGTATAAATGTATAATAACATATGAGACCTTCAAATTCCCTCTTGGACTCTTAGATCTATCTTGAAACTTACAACACAAGAAGCTAATTTAAGAGGACTTCCTAAGTGAATATTTTGAAGTCAGTACCTTTCAGCACTTGATATAAATATAATAGTATAAATTTAACTTTATTTAAAAATATCTCGCTCAAGTAGAATTTTGAGTTTTTATTTAAAAAATTTATTTTTTCCGAAATAATTGTTATGGATANTGACTCTTAGATCTATCTCGCTCAAGTAGAATTTTGAGTTTTTATTTAAAAAATTTATTTTTTCCGAAATAATTGTTATGGATATTGTGAAGATTATTCCATACTCAATACATCCATTTGAAAAAGAATTTAGGACTCCTTTTGAGATTGAATTAGTTTTATCTATTTTCTTTCTTTTTTGACATTTCTATATCCAATTTGATATTTTCTAATTGACCTGCTCAAANTAACTTTATTTAAAAATATCTCGCTCAAGTAGAATTTTGAGTTTTTATTTAAAAAATTTATTTTTTCCGAAATAATTGTTATGGATATTGTGAATATTATTCCATACTCAATACATCCATTTGAAAAAGAATTTAGGACTCCTTTTGAGATTGAATTAGTTTTATCTATTTTATTTCTTTTTTGACATTTCTATATCCAATTTGATATTTTCTAATTGACCTGCTCAAAATTAATTGGCTAGGATGAAAATCTACTATATTACAAAACTGAGAATAACTGATAATGGCCCCTGATTAATTGAAGATAATAGATGACCTTTTTTTGCCTTCTAAGAAAATCGGAATTAACAGTGTGTTTATATGGAGAGGGGGAAGATGGCAGTCATAAAGTTTAAGGGTTTGGTTTTATTTGTGCAGATATGGTATGCCTTTTCATTTAAGTAGCATTGGTGAGAGCTTTTATGATATTAATGAGAAAGAAACAAAAAAGAGGGGTTGGGGGGGAGCAGGTGAACGAGAGACACATTATGCGTTGTTGTTTGTTTGCAGGCGTCTAAGATGCTTTAAGGTTGTTGGCAGGCCAGAGATATCATTTATGAAGAGAGATGTCTGGGCTTGATTTGTTGTGGGCCTTTTTATTCCGAGATTTTTTGGGCCACACTACATACAATTCTTAGCAATTTCAACTGTGTAGTGTGTTAGGCCTTTAGTTTAATCATTTGGTGCCCTTCTTATTTGGGGCCCTAAGCGGGCATTTCACTTGCTTTACCTATGGGCCAGCCTTGTGCATATGCTGCCATTTTACCCCTGGGAAACCACATTGTCAGTTGTTGCGATCTGTAGAGATGGACTAGTAAGCAAGTGTTCTGGGAGTAGGAGCGTGATCCCAATCTTCATTGTTGGAGCTGTGTCAGACATGATTGAACAGCGAAGGGTTGTGTAACAACTGTTGTAGAAACAATGATAACAAGATGATTGAGTAGAAAAACAATGGTGGATATAATTAAAATAGGCGATGGTTCTTTTTTTTGTTTTTTGATAATTAACCAGATAATATTGAAAATATGTAAAAAAAAGAGTACATTTATGAGGAGTTATTTGGAACTAGCTTGTTGTCTTAGAAGGACAGATGAGAGCTAAAAGGTTGCTGGTTGATGTGATCTGATTGACAAGAGTACTCACAATATAGATGGTGAAATGGCCAACATAATTGATGCATGGGACTCAGTAAGTTGAGAAGCTGTGGTTTTAAGTCTTCTTTTGTATTGAAAAAGGAGCTTTCATTTTGGTCAACCTTGCTAATAATGGTCATTAAGGTGCTGCATAGTGTTGTAAATATTTCTGGTGAATGCTCTCTTCCCTTCCTACTCCTCCGACTCCTCTCTTATGCTTGCGTCTCCCTTCTTTTTCTTCTTCTTTTCAATGGGTGGTACCATGGTGGCACAAGCTTGCATAAACATTTTACCACTATATGTTAGATGACAATAGTTAACATGTAAGATATATGTTAGGCTTCCCAATGTGTGTGATGAAGTTGTTTGTTGATGCATATGTTGGTGGTATATCATGTTCTGTAGAAACATTTGTTTGCGTCTTTCTAATCATCAATCTTTGTTTGGAACTGCAGGTTGTTAATAGGAGGAGTCAGGGGTATGGGCTTGCAGCTGATATTTGGAGTCTTGGGTGCACTGTGTTAGAGATGTTGACACATCAGCTTCCATATGCCCCATTGGAATGTGTAAGTAACACTTCTGTTAAAGTTTTTTTCTTCTTTGCTTTATTCTAAGAACTTTTGTTCTTTCAATGTTAGGTTTCGTAAAAAAACCTTCAAAATTTTAATACTGGTGTATGACAGTTAATTATATTTTTATTTTTTTTTCTGCTATATGTGTGCTGGTTTCACCTGGGTTAATCCTTACATGAGCAAAAATGAGGGCTGCTAAGTACTTCACTTCTGAGACACTGTCACGGATGAAAATAAGAGAAACTAGCTGGAAGTAGATTCCTTTGAATTTTGAAGTTTGATACTTTCATGTACTTTTTCTGGAATGGCTTTCTCATTCTAGTAGTTCTCACTTCTCCCAGCGATATAACTTTTATAATTCTGCAGCTTATATGTTTCTCAGTTTTATAACTCTGCTGCATATACGCGCTCGGCACTCTCAATGGACTGCACTTTCTATAGCTTTAAGTTTGATCCTTAGTCATGAATTGTGGTGGAGGTAAATATGTCGACATAGACCAACACTATGAACCTAACTTAATGCAACAAAGCATTGTCCCAACTAGATTTGAGTTAGCTGAATGAATTGTTTTTCTGCCTTTGTGCTCTAGTGAGGGCCATAGTTTCCATTAACCCACATACTGTGATATCCATTTTTACCAACTCATTTAAAGTTAATTTCAATCTTATTCTGGTTGTTGCATTACCTTCAATAGGCATGTGTTTACTTTTTGTTGCTAGTGGAGGAGTATGCCTGTTTGAATTTGTCCAAACCATCTAAGTGCCTATTTGAATTTGTCCAAACCATCTAAGTCCATTTTTGTTATTTATCTCTTACATGTAACACTTCTATTTTTTCACAAATAATTTCATTCCTGAATATATAATTTCTGGTCTTACCACACATCCATCTTAACATTGTCATATTGGTCATAATCAATTCTTGATCGTGTTATTTCATATTTGTTGACCATTTGGTACCATATAGTGTGGCTGGTCATATGGTTGTCTTATAGAAAGTAACCTTTCAGCTTAAGACTGATAAGAAAATACACTGGATGCATTCCTTCTTCTTGTCCACTTGGTTTATTTTTGAGTAACATTGTTTCCAATCTTAAACTCCTTATGGATAATTGGCTCTAGATGTGGATCAAGTTGTGAACTTCCCTAAAATGAATTTGATTTGATGATACTAGTAATGTTTGGTGTTTTGTCCTGTCTTCTTTCCCTTTTTTTTTTTCTGAAGTAGAATTGCTATATTGAGACGAAATTTCAAACTTGCAGGATTCTACAATCAGGATGTTGCAACATTGTTCCGTTTTCTTTTTTTTTTTTTTCCCTTTTTGGTTCTTTTATGTTGCTATCCATGGATAAATTTTTTTTTACCAACTTTGACATAGGTTGGCATGAACAAGCAAATCAAATGTGTGGCTTGGAACACATGTCTGGATGCATAAAGTGACAGTTTGTAGAGTTTTTTTCCATATGATGGCTGTTGGCTGTCCTTGTTTGCCATGTTAAAAGTGGTCTTCTCTTGTCATTAGCAGTATGACCTCTGATTTCAGGGCAGAGTCATGCCATCACCTTTTCAAGGATTAACCAAATCCTTGACAGTTTGTCATTCACTCTACAATTATCGGAAGATGAATGAATTAGGGATAGATTTAATATAGGACACAGTCAGCCTAACAACATGGGGAAAGTAAAAAAAGAAGCAAGAATTAGAAAGAAATACTCTCAGCCTCCCCAGAGGTGGTTATTTCTTTTCCATTGGGTTCTAGATGGCCATAACACCAACCTGTATAAAGAATTTGGAAACTCAAGACATTAACAACCTTTGAGTTCTACTTTTCAAATTTGGTATTGAGAAGACATGCTTGACCAGAAACCGCTTTCTGTGTTGTAACTTGTGGAGTGATGAAAGTCTGGAATAAGTCACTCCCTTTGTGTGACTCGAATTGGATATAAATCAAGCCTATGTTAATTGCCCACTAATTGTTGTAGATCTAAACTTAGTTTTTTTGAAACCACAAAGCCGCACACTGTGGTTGGTGATTGTCTATGATGAATCCTTATTTGAAGAGTTAAATGCTATTTGCTAAAATGAAATCTAATAAATTTGGCATCCCTATTTGTATGCCATCTCTAGTTTCTCTTTTCTCCTATCTGCCCAATTTTTCGGTTTAGTGAATCTGTCACTTCAGTCATCGTGCAATTTTATAACCATATGATTGTTATCTTGGAGTTTGACAGCATCTTCTTTGTGTGACAAAACAGATGCAGGCATTGTTTCGGATTGGAAGGGGTATTCCACCACCTGTTCCAGATACTATTTCTAGAGATGCGCGAGATTTCATTCTTCAATGTCTTCNTATTGTAACTTGTGGAGTGATGAAAGTCTGGAATAAGTCACTCCCTTTGTGTGACTCGAATTGGATATAAATCAATCCTATGTTAATTGCCCACTAATTGTTGTAGATCTAAACTTAGTTTTTATGAAACCACAAAGCCGCACACTGTGGTTGGTGATTGTCTATGATGAATCCTTATTTGAAGAGTTAAATGCTATTTGCTAAAATGAAATCTAATAAATTTGGCATCCCTATTTGTATGCCATCTCTAGTTTCTCTTTTCTCCTATCTGCCCAATTTTTCGGTTTAGTGAATCTGTCACTTCAGTCATCATGCAATTTTATAACCATATGATTGTTATCTTGGAGTTTGACAGCATCTTCTTTGTGTGACAAAACAGATGCAGGCATTGTTTCGGATTGGAAGGGGTATTCCACCACCTGTTCCAGATACTATTTCTAGAGATGCGCGAGATTTCATTCTTCAATGTCTTCAAGTTAACCCAAATGCTCGTCCTACTGCTGCTGAGCTCTTAGACCACCCATTTGTGAAGAGGCCACTTCCCCCATCCTCAGGCTCAGCGTCTCCTTACAATCATGGCAGGCGGATTTAAATTTCCCATCAGCTCTCAAGTGTAATTGATAATAAGGTATCGCATCATCAAATCTGTACAAAACTCTGACACCAGTATTTAAACCCTCCACCTCACCATTTTACACCATGCCACTAATTCTAGGGAATGCAGTTATTTGATCTCTCAAATTGGGTGACCATTCAGGGAATGGAGGTATTTGGCTTCTCTGCTTGGACGATGTAGGCCGCGTTGTAACTTAAACATGCTTCACATATCATCCAGAATCCATCCACAAATTTGGAACCCATAAGATGTACCATACATTAATCCTTGGGCTCTTGGGAGATTTCCAGACTGGGCGGTTAAGTGCTTTGGAACTATTGTTCTTCCTTTTCTTGAAGAAAACTAATTTCTTGGCAATTTCCTGTGGTTGTACTATTATCATTGTACCCTCATCCTTTTTCAATAGGTTAAGAGAGTAGGAGTCAAGTTTGTGCTTCAGTAGTGCTTGTAAAGTTCTAAAAATGGGTCATTATTTGTATATATCTCTTCATTCAAAAGTGCTTTTTTTCCCATTTCTTTGATCGGCCCCTCCTCCTTTCCCTTTCCCTTTCCCTCTCTGTTTTAGAATATGGAAATTTGAGGAGTTGGCTTATGTTATGTTTCTCCCTTCCTGTTAATATTGAGAAACAAGGGAAAGAGANCTCCTTTCCCTTTCCCTTTCCCTCTCTGTTTTAGAATATGGAAATTTGAGGATTTGGCTTATGTTATGTTTCTCCCTTCCTGTTAATATTGAGAAACAAGGGAAAGAGANCAGTCTTCTTTCCCTTTTTTTTTTTTCTGAAGTAGAATTGCTATATTGAGACGAAATTTCAAACTTGCAGGATTCTACAATCAGGATGTTGCAACATTGTTCCGTTTTCTTTTTTTTTTTTTTCCCTTTTTGGTTCTTTTATGTTGCTATCCATGGATAAATTTTTTTTTACCAACTTTGACATAGGTTGGCATGAACAAGCAAATCAAATGTGTGGCTTGGAACACATGTCTGGATGCATAAAGTGACAGTTTGTAGAGTTTTTTTCCATATGATGGCTGTTGGCTGTCCTTGTTTGCCATGTTAAAAGTGGTCTTCTCTTGTCATTAGCAATATGACCTCTGATTTCAGGGCAGAGTCATGCCATCACCTTTTCAAGGATTAACCAAATCCTTGACAGTTTGTCATTCACTCTACAATTATCGGAAGATGAATGAATTAGGGATAGATTTAATATAGGACACAGTCAGCCTAACAACATGGGGAAAGTAAAAAAAGAAGCAAGAATTAGAAAGAAATACTCTCAGCCTCCCCAGAGGTGGTTATTTCTTTTCCATTGGGTTCTAGATGGCCATAACACCAACCTGTATAAAGAATTTGGAAACTCAAGACATTAACAACCTTTGAGTTCTACTTTTCAAATTTGGTATTGAGAAGACATGCTTGACCAGAAACCGCTTTCTGTGTTGTAACTTGTGGAGTGATGAAAGTCTGGAATAAGTCACTCCCTTTGTGTGACTCGAATTGGATATAAATCAAGCCTATGTTAATTGCCCACTAATTGTTGTAGATCTAAACTTAGTTTTTATGAAACCACAAAGCCGCACACTGTGGTTGGTGATTGTCTATGATGAATCCTTATTTGAAGAGTTAAATGCTATTTGCTAAAATGAAATCTAATAAATTTGGCATCCCTATTTGTATGCCATCTCTAGTTTCTCTTTTCTCCTATCTGCCCAATTTTTCGGTTTAGTGAATCTGTCACTTCAGTCATCATGCAATTTTATAACCATATGATTGTTATCTTGGAGTTTGACAGCATCTTCTTTGTGTGACAAAACAGATGCAGGCATTGTTTCGGATTGGAAGGGGTATTCCACCACCTGTTCCAGATACTATTTCTAGAGATGCGCGAGATTTCATTCTTCAATGTCTTCAAGTTAACCCAAATGCTCGTCCTACTGCTGCTGAGCTCTTAGACCACCCATTTGTGAAGAGGCCACTTCCCCCATCCTCAGGCTCAGCGTCTCCTTACAATCATGGCAGGCGGATTTAAATTTCCCATCAGCTCTCAAGTGTAATTGATAATAAGGTATCGCATCATCAAATCTGTACAAAACTCTGACACCAGTATTTAAACCCTCCACCTCACCATTTTACACCATGCCACTAATTCTAGGGAATGCAGTTATTTGATCTCTCAAATTGGGTGACCATTCAGGGAATGGAGGTATTTGGCTTCTCTGCTTGGACGATGTAGGCCGCGTTGCAACTTAAACATGCTTCACATATCATCCAGAATCCATCCACAAATTTGGAACCCATAAGATGTACCATACATTAATCCTTGGGCTCTTGGGAGATTTCCAGACTGGGCGGTTAAGTGCTTTGGAACTATTGTTCTTCCTTTTCTTGAAGAAAACTAATTTCTTGGCAATTTCCTGTGGTTGTACTATTATCATTTTACCCTCATCCTTTTTCAATAGGTTAAGAGAGTAGGAGTCAAGTTTGTGCTTCAGTAGTGCTTGTAAAGTTCTAAAAATGGGTCATTATTTGTATATATCTCTTCATTCAAAAGTGCTTTTTTTCCCATTTCTTTGATCGGCCCCTCCTCCTTTCCCTTTCCCTTTCCCTCTCTGTTTTAGAATATGGAAATTTGAGGATTTGGCTTATGTTATGTTTCTCCCTTCCTGTTAATATTGAGAAACAAGGGAAAGAGACTCAAGTTGTGTTTCTAGGAATGTGACTAGCTGGGGACATCGGGGGGGATGTACCTTTGGGCTAACGTTTTTTTCTCGGCTTTTATTAATTTAATTTAATTTATTTTTTGGAACAGAATTACTAAATTGATTCCAGTCCCTAAGAGTAATATTTGTTTGGGATGTGGCTCGGTTTTCTCGTTCGACCAAACCTCATCCGAACCACCACTACCTGCCCCAATACAATTTCTGCCTAGATAACATAGCAGACGATCTCGATTCCCAGCCTCAACTATTGCAGACTGTCTTTCTCCATAACCACGGCCATCCCCACTCTCCACCCCCTCGCACAATCAAAGAATCGCACGGCTCCCTCTGTTTACGATTTGTGATTTTTGGATTCGCAATCTGAAATGTGCAATTAATTTTGAATTTAGTGATAAAACTGTGCACTTTTGTGATATGCAATTTGCAGTGTGGCTTCCAACTAGGCGTTCAGTAGGATGGTTTCAGGTGTGGCAGAAGTGGGCTTGTAGGTAGGGNTTTTTTTTACCAACTTTGACATAGGTTGGCATGAACAAGCAAATCAAATGTGTGGCTTGGAACACATGTCTGGATGCATAAAGTGACAGTTTGTAGAGTTTTTTTCCATATGATGGCTGTTGGCTGTCCTTGTTTGCCATGTTAAAAGTGGTCTTCTCTTGTCATTAGCAGTATGACCTCTGATTTCAGGGCAGAGTCATGCCATCACCTTTTCAAGGATTAACCAAATCCTTGACAGTTTGTCATTCACTCTACAATTATCGGAAGATGAATGAATTAGGGATAGATTTAATATAGGACACAGTCAGCCTAACAACATGGGGAAAGTAAAAAAAGAAGCAAGAATTAGAAAGAAATACTCTCAGCCTCCCCAGAGGTGGTTATTTCTTTTCCATTGGGTTCTAGATGGCCATAACACCAACCTGTATAAAGAATTTGGAAACTCAAGACATTAACAACCTTTGAGTTCTACTTTTCAAATTTGGTATTGAGAAGACATGCTTGACCAGAAACCGCTTTCTGTGTTGTAACTTGTGGAGTGATGAAAGTCTGGAATAAGTCACTCCCTTTGTGTGACTCGAATTGGATATAAATCAAGCCTATGTTAATTGCCCACTAATTGTTGTAGATCTAAACTTAGTTTTTATGAAACCACAAAGCCGCACACTGTGGTTGGTGATTGTCTATGATGAATCCTTATTTGAAGAGTTAAATGCTATTTGCTAAAATGAAATCTAATAAATTTGGCATCCCTATTTGTATGCCATCTCTAGTTTCTCTTTTCTCCTATCTGCCCAATTTTTCGGTTTAGTGAATCTGTCACTTCAGTCATCATGCAATTTTATAACCATATGATTGTTATCTTGGAGTTTGACAGCATCTTCTTTGTGTGACAAAACAGATGCAGGCATTGTTTCGGATTGGAAGGGGTATTCCACCACCTGTTCCAGATACTATTTCTAGAGATGCGCGAGATTTCATTCTTCAATGTCTTCAAGTTAACCCAAATGCTCGTCCTACTGCTGCTGAGCTCTTAGACCACCCATTTGTGAAGAGGCCACTTCCCCCATCCTCAGGCTCAGCGTCTCCTTACAATCATGGCAGGCGGATTTAAATTTCCCATCAGCTCTCAAGTGTAATTGATAATAAGGTATCGCATCATCAAATCTGTACAAAACTCTGACACCAGTATTTAAACCCTCCACCTCACCATTTTACACCATGCCACTAATTCTAGGGAATGCAGTTATTTGATCTCTCAAATTGGGTGACCATTCAGGGAATGGAGGTATTTGGCTTCTCTGCTTGGACGATGTAGGCCGCGTTGCAACTTAAACATGCTTCACATATCATCCAGAATCCATCCACAAATTTGGAACCCATAAGATGTACCATACATTAATCCTTGGGCTCTTGGGAGATTTCCAGACTGGGCGGTTAAGTGCTTTGGAACTATTGTTCTTCCTTTTCTTGAAGAAAACTAATTTCTTGGCAATTTCCTGTGGTTGTACTATTATCATTTTACCCTCATCCTTTTTCAATAGGTTAAGAGAGTAGGAGTCAAGTTTGTGCTTCAGTAGTGCTTGTAAAGTTCTAAAAATGGGTCATTATTTGTATATATCTCTTCATTCAAAAGTGCTTTTTTTCCCATTTCTTTGATCGGCCCCTCCTCCTTTCCCTTTCCCTTTCCCTCTCTGTTTTAGAATATGGAAATTTGAGGATTTGGCTTATGTTATGTTTCTCCCTTCCTGTTAATATTGAGAAACAAGGGAAAGAGACTCAAGTTGTGTTTCTAGGAATGTGACTAGCTGGGGACATCGGGGGGGATGTACCTTTGGGCTAACGTTTTTTTCTCGGCTTTTATTAATTTAATTTAATTTATTTTTTGGAACAGAATTACTAAATTGATTCCAGTCCCTAAGAGTAATATTTGTTTGGGATGTGGCTCGGTTTTCTCGTTCGACCAAACCTCATCCGAACCACCACTACCTGCCCCAATACAATTTCTGCCTAGATAACATAGCAGACGATCTCTATTCCCAGCCTCAACTATTGCAGACTGTCTTTCTCCATAACCACGGCCATCCCCACTCTCCACCCCCTCGCACAATCAAAGAATCGCACGGCTCCCTCTGTTTACGATTTGTGATTTTTGGATTCGCAATCTGAAATGTGCAATTAATTTTGAATTTAGTGATAAAACTGTGCACTTTTGTGATATGCAATTTGCAGTGTGGCTTCCAACTAGGCGTTCAGTAGGATGGTTTCAGGTGTGGCAGAAGTGGGCTTGTAGGTAGGGGTGTTCACCCTACCTTACAGGTAGGAAATATAGTCTTTCGTCTTTCTACCTGATATTTTGCAGAAGAATTCTTTCTTGCCTACCTTACCCGATTAGGTGTGGTATTACTACCCGACTTCTTACCTAATTAATCAAGTAGGAAGTCGGGTAAATATTTTTTTAACTATTAATTTTTGGATCATTTTAACAATTCAATTAAATAACATGCACCAATTTAACAACACAATAAATCAATAATACTAAAACTTAAAACAATTATAACAACAGTTACAATAAAAACATAAAAAAGCATGAATATCAATTTATTATAATTGTTATACAAATACAATAACAATTATTTTAAGTTTAAACCATATGAAACACATTAAGATCATAACTGCTCCAATAGATCACCAGTTTACCATAAATCATGTAACATACACAAAAAACAAGTTCATGTTTTCGCAATTCAAACATCTATAATAATAATAATGTTATAATATAAATATACCACACAAATACTCTTATAATTACTAAAAAAATATAAAAAAATTAAATATATNGAGTGTTCACCCTACCTTACAGGTAGGAAATATAGTCTTTCGTCTTTCTACCTGATATTTTGCAGAAGAATTCTTTCTTGCCTACCTTACCCGATTAGGTGTGGTATTACTACCCGACTTCTTACCTAATTAATCAAGTAGGAAGTCGGGTAAATATTTTTTTAACTATTAATTTTTGGATCATTTTAACAATTCAATTAAATAACATGCACCAATTTAACAACACAATAAATCAATAATACTAAAACTTAAAACAATTATAACAACAGTTACAATAAAAACATAAAAAAGCATGAATATCAATTTATTATAATTGTTATACAAATACAATAACAATTATTTTAAGTTTAAACCATATGAAACACATTAAGATCATAACTGCTCCAATAGATCACCAGTTTACCATAAATCATGTAACATACACAAAAAACAAGTTCATGTTTTCGCAATTCAAACATCTATAATAATAACAATGTTATAATATAAATATACCACACAAATACTCTTATAATTACTAAAAAAATATAAAAAAGTTAAATATATTTTTGTAGGTAAGGTAGGGTAGGAATGCGAAAATTGATGGATATTCTACATTTCTACCCGATTTAATTGGAAGACCAAAGATTCTTCTGCATTCCTACTCGATTTTTGCGGCTAGTCGATCAGTAAGATAGGGTAGGGTAGGAAATTGCGACCAATCGAAAATTTGAACACCCCTACTTATAGGTATGTGATGGGACACTTCAGAGAATTAGGAAGGAGTCAACATGTGTCCTCGGCGTTAGAAATGTGAAAGTCCTGAAGATTGACATGTGTCTTAGGCATATATCTCCTCGGAGCATTGTTTATTAAGACATGTGTTCTCAACACTAAAGGTCTCTCGGCGTCATATGAGAGTNTTACCATAAATCATGTAACATACACAAAAAACAAGTTCATGTTTTCGCAATTCAAACATCTATAATAATAACAATGTTATAATATAAATATACCACACAAATACTCTTATAATTACTAAAAAAATATAAAAAAGTTAAATATATTTTTGTAGGTAAGGTAGGGTAGGAATGCGAAAATTGATGGATATTCTACATTTCTACCCAATTTAATCGGAAGACCAAAGATTCTTCTGCATTCCTACTCGATTTTTGCGGCTAGTCGATCAGTAAGATAGGGTAGTGTAGGAAATTGCGACCAATCGAAAATTTGAACACCCCTACTTGTAGGTATGTGATGGGACACTTCAGAGAATCAGGAAAGAGTCAACATGTGTCCTCGGCGTTAGAAATGTGGAAGTCCTGAAGATTGACATGTGTCTTAGGCATATATCTCCTCGGAGCACTGTTTATTAAGACATGTGTTCTCAACACTAAAGGTCTCTCGGCGTCATATGAGAGTGACACGTGTTATTGGCATAAGGGGTTTTACAGAGCCCCTGCGAGTGACATGTGTTCTCGACATACGTTCTCTTGGAGTACTTAGATTGTGACATATGTCCTTAGTGTCAATTCTCCTCAGCTTCTTCTGTGATTGACACATGTCCTTGGCGTGACTGACTTCTCCGATATCTATTTCTAGACACGTCATCTCGGCTCCAGAACCTCGAGGTAGAGGTATCAGAATGACGACTATCATTACTTGGAGTTAAACTTGGTTAATAATTATTGACTTATCTTCCCTAAGCAATCAGAATGACAGAGGGGACAAACCCACACCCAATGACGATGTTACACGTGGCAAAGAGCACAAAATCATAGGCCAAAAGACAAAGATACCCCTACTCGTGTGCAACCATTACAGGAAAACATTTAATGATCCCTCAGAGGGATGTGATGTGTTTATTGCTTAGAGATTCCCAAAGTAAGAGCGTGAAGTGCTTGGGAGCTCGAACATTTAATTCTTATAGTTCTCCCATGCNTCAGATTGTGACATGTGTCCTTAGTGTCAATTCTCCTCAGCTTCTTCTGTGATTGACACATGTCCTTGGCGTGACTGACTTCTCCGAGATCTATTTCTAGACACGTCATCTCGGCTCCAGAACCTCGAGGTAGAGGTATCAGAATGACGACTATCGTTACTTGGAGTTAAACTTGGTTAATAATTATTGACTTATCTTCCCTAAGCAATCAGNTCAGAGGAAGTATTGAACAAATAGAATCTATAGTTTGAATGGCTGGGGATTGATGAGCGTCAAAATGATCCAGTCGATCGCTCTGTGGAGGACCTCCGGAAGGTACTCTTGGCAGAAGGAGACAAGAAGAGATACTTCCTGATTGGGTCTGCCATGGCCCCAGCCGGGCAAGAAGAGATGACCAATTTTTTGAGAAAGAATGTGGATGTGTTTACATGGGACACCATGGAGATGAGAGGCATAAGTCCCGATGTTATAACTCACAGGCTCCATGTTGATCCCACTCATAAGCCCTTAAAGTAAAAATCAAGGCGTAGGGCGCCANTTAGATTGTGACATATGTCCTTAGTGTCAATTCTCCTCAGCTTCTTCTGTGATTGACACATGTCCTTGGCGTGACTGACTTCTCCGATATCTATTTCTAGACACGTCATCTCGGCTCCAGAACCTCGAGGTAGAGGTATCAGAATGACGACTATCATTACTTGGAGTTAAACTTGGTTAATAATTATTGACTTATCTTCCCTAAGCAATCAGAATGACAGAGGGGACAAACCCACACCCAATGACGATGTTACACGTGGCAAAGAGCACAAAATCATAGGCCAAAAGACAAAGATACCCCTACTCGTGTGCAACCATTACAGGAAAACATTTAATGATCCCTCAGAGGGATGTGATGTGTTTATTGCTTAGAGATTCCCAAAGTAAGAGCGTGAAGTGCTTGGGAGCTCGAACATTTAATTCTTATAGTTCTCCCATGCATAATAAAAGGCGCTTTGCTCAAGGACCGAACACCAATGCTTGCTGCCTACCAAATGGGCCACTGGGGGACTCTTTCTTCCAAGGCCCCACCTGCCAGCAATGATTACGTCAATGAAGGTATAAATACCTCTCTAAAATTCAAAGCAAAGGTATGCAAATCAGATTCAAACAATAGAACAATATTTTTCCCACCCATCTCTCACGTACTGAGTTGATCATCGGAAGGGTCACGCCGAAAAACACTCCGGCTCCCTTCTAACTCTCTTTTTGAGTGGTAGAATTCCATTTGACTCACCGAAATCGCGCAGACAGTTGAAAAGGTAATTCATTACCACTCCTTACGATCTTTCTCACTTTCTATTGCCTTGGGATCCTTG